AAGCTTCTCATGAGCTCTTTAATTACTTTAAAAAACATATAATGCAGATAATGAGTTGGAATATAGTACTATATCTTTTCATTGTGTTTCCATCCATTGGGTGGTTAGTGAAATTGACACCACCTTTTAACAGTCTTACTTTTTTTAAAGTGAGATATATTCATTCATTCATGAATGTCCCTTATTTATCAGGGGTTGACGCAGCAGAATAAACCACCAACTATTCCAGCATATGTTTTATGCAGCGGATGCCCTTCCAGCCGCAACCCTGTACTGGGAAACACCCATACACACTCATTCACCCACACACTCATACACTACGACCAATTTAGTTCATTATATTCACTTATACCGCATGTGTTTGGACTTGTGGGGGAAACCGGAGCACCCAGAGGAAACCCACGCCAAAACCGGTAGAATATTCAAACTCCACACAGAAATGCCAACTGACGCAGCTGAGGCTCGAACCAACAACCTTCTAGCTGTGAGGTGTCCACTGAGCCTCCGTGCCATTAGGGTGATACTGTATATGAAGAGGTTGTTTAATTATTTTTTTTAAGTAGAATTTAGGTTGTTTTTTTGCAATTGAAATCTTCAATACTTAATTTAAAAAGATGATTTCTGAAAGTTTTAGTTTTAGTAATTTTTATAAATCATGTTTTTGCTGTTGTACTCTTCAATACAAAATATATTATCTTCAAAATGGAGTAATCAGTTTTTGCAAATAAACTCTTCATAGACAGACATCTTTCCTCTTCATTAACTATAAAGCGCACCTGCGGATCAGCTACTGGCATTTAAAACTGCCAATGAAGTATTGTAAGAATACTGTAGGACTTATTTATGTTGTTTGTCTTCTTGTCATGGCATCTACATCAACAATCCATCTAAAACTTTTACTATTTGTGCAGTTTACTCATTCCCCCTAGAGTTTTTCAGATCTTCTTTAACTGAAAGAGTCTCAGTTTGCCTGTTGAACACCAGTACAGTATCTTTAGGTGTTTTTATATTTCTAAACGTCATTTACATGTCCACCTGCAGCACTGAGACTGAGAATGATGATATGCCATAGGCTCCATATTCTTGTTTTTGGACTGATAATTTATTCCATCTCATTTTTAAAACATTTTGATGCATTTTTAAAACAAGATGCTAATGCATTGTACACTATACTGCTATTAAATATTACTGTTTTTAGCATTGTGGAGTATACTATTTTCAATGACTGTGGACTTGCTCTCAAACATACCCATGCCATTTGTTTGTTGTTATTTTTTTATGTGTGTTGAATATTTTCATCCATACTTCAAGCATTGACCACCTTCTTCAATATTAATCAGTTTTCTGGTCTGATCTCAAGCTTAGGCAAATAACTAAGAAAGCATCAATCAGAGGCCACAATTTTAGGTATCATTTTGTAGACTTCTTACAAATTATTTTACAGTATTTTAAATTACAAAAATACGAGACACCAAAGCATGTTGATACAAAATATTAAGCCATTTTAATAAACCATATAAAATACACATTACAAAATACTATTTTGTATTTGAAATGCGTATTTTAAATACTTGTATCATACATACTACCCACCCCTGGTAATAAGCACAGCATTATCTTCAATTGTCTGATAAACCAAGCATCAGATTGTGCATTGTTGGTAAATAAATTTGTGGTAAAATAAAGTGACCAAAGAGCCAGTTCTTCATCACTTGGTCTGAAACATGATTAAATATCTGAAACATAGCAATACAAAGACTGTTAACCTGCCATTTTGGCAGACTGGCTTCAGTATAAGCTGTTTTAGGCTCATGAGAAAGTAAAAAATGTTTACAATGTCAAAAGATCAAGGGAATTATCATGTTTCAGTTTATGACCTTGAAGCATTTATAAAGATGTCCGTCTTGTCTTTGGTTGTGTCTAAATTTAAAAATTGTACAAGATGTATGTGTGTGCAACATAAAAAAAGAAAGACGTAAAGTCACTTTACATTTGATACAATCCCAGCTTTAATTTTACATTTAGGTCTTTGTATAAAAAGGTTTCTCAATCATTGCTCACTGAACTGTCAAAACATTATCATAAACAACATCTGGGTTTTTTTCTCTAGATGCACAAACCATTTTATTATGCCAAGGCTTACTTGCATATAATTCCATGTGCATTTTTTACAAATTATGTAACAATATGCTGCATTTAACAATGAAATGTAGGTAAACAGATTGTATGTAAATGATGTTTGTGCCAATATAAGAAAATACTGCAAAAATCCTTGCTGTCAACAGCCTGTTAATTAGTGGAGAATCCTTAAAACAATGCATTTAAATATGAGAGAATTTTAGGGGGATTAAAGGACTAGTTCAACTTGACATTTACTCATCCTCATGTTATTCTAAACCCAAAAAGACAATTCTGTTTTAAATAAAATCAGAGAATTTTTTGTATCTTCATTTAAAATCTGCTCACCCAAAACTCGCATGCCTAAATAAATCTGTTTATCATATAAAGAAATCATTTCTCATCTGAAGTCTCAGATCAAACCGCTCAATTCATATGGGTTTATTATGTGATCTCTTCATGAATTGTATCTGGTTGAATAAACTTTCAGTAGAAGGACAGAAATTTTATTAAAACTACATTTCAGATTTCATTAAAAATATCTTCATTTGCAATCTAAAGATGAACAGTTTTTTATGAGGTTGAGTAAAAGGTTTACTTTGTCCTGAATCAACTTTTTCAGCTCTTAACTTTTTCATCTCCTAAATGATTGTAGCTTTAATGTAACTGTTTTTCTCATCATGAAATTTTTGTTGATGTTAAAACATAAAATGTCATGGGAAAAGTAAAAAAAAAAACAGTCATAAATCAGTCATGTAGAATGTTTATCCGTTGGGTCCCAGATGCCTCACTAAGAAGAGGAAAAGCTACAAGATGTATTTTCACCCATAGCATTGACTGTTCAGACTGTAGTTTAGAACTAAATCATCATAGTAATGGCTACTGCAATAATACTGTATAGTGCTAAGTGATATAAAATATGACTTAAATGGATTAAGAGGTGCTTTAGCCTTAGTAATTGTGCTCTGGGGTACAGAAGAATGTTTGGGAACTACTCACTTACTTACGGTACAAGACTTATTTCTCACCAGAAATGATACTGATGACTTTGCTGACTCTTCTGGCATTTTGCATTAAATATTAAACAGTGCTTTTCTCATTTTCTCATTCTCATTTTCCACAGCTTAAGAATATCTAGCTCATTTTATTCAATTATTTTTTGCTAATGAAAAAAATTGCAACAACTTGATGTATTATTAACATTGAAGGGATGGCTTTATCATAAATAATACATGTGATATTTGATGACTTTTGATGTTTTGTTCTTACACAGATGCCATACTGCTGTAGGAATATTTTACTTATTTACCTTAATTTTCATAATTTTTTTTTTTATTTATGATTAGTGAAATCTTTATTTGTTTTGTATATTTGCCTTATTAAGTTTTCAGTGTCTTTACTCTCTCAGTGAGCATCTTGTCATTCATCTGTAGGTTTCTGAATGCAATTGGCCGTCCAGACAGGCTCCAAGTCTTCACAACCTATTTGCCGTGTGTAAGAATATGTACAACTGGCTCAAGCAAAACCCCAAGAATGTGTGTGTAATCACCTGTTCGGTAAGAAGATCTTTTGATGTTGTTCACGCAGCATTAAACAGCCATGACTTCATAAACCAGATTTATTATTCACATTTCCAGCAGGTTATTTTCAAGTTCAGGGTTTAAAAGGAGAGTTCACTTAAAAATGGAAATTCAAAGTTTTTCCAAACATAAGAAGATCTTTTGGAGAATCTTGGTAACTAGTCAGTGATATGATATGACTCCCATATCATTGTTTTTCCTACTATGAAATCAGTTAACTCATTGGTTACAAACATTTTTCAAAATATCTTCTTTTTTGCTCAACAGGAGAAAGAAACTCAGGTTTGGAACAACTAGATAGGGAGTACGCTCAAAAAATATTTTTGCTGCTTGTTCAAGCTACTTATTTAAAATGAGCTGAATCAACACAATTTTTGAGTTTTTTTGCAAAGACAACTTAATTGTTTTGAGTTTAGTCCACTTAAATTTGTAAAAACAATTAAGTTAACCTAACTCTTAAAGACCGAAACAGCCGCCCACGGCTAAAAATAATTGTTCTTAAATGTTCAATAACTTTTGATCCGCTGATCCGATCCGTATAATTCAAAGATTGGCAAAAGAAAGAGATGGAAATATTTCTAAAGAAAAAAAACTTCATAAGGTTTTGTTTTTAATAACTAAAAAATGCCACTTTAAAAAAAAAAAAAAAAAAAAAAAACGTTTTCCTTAAAATTCTGGAATATTTTCTGTCTGTTCATATGTTTTTGGGCCAAAAAATATTTTAGACTGGACCTTTAAATGATACAGATTGAAGCTTCAGGTTCTCCTGTTTAAAATAATATATGACACTTGAGTCTGACTGATAAAAAAAACAATAAAACTGCTTTTAAGAAAAAATAATCATATAGGCCCATTAGGTGCCCACAAAATACCTCTTTAAGGGTTAATAGATTTGTGTTGGGACAACATGAAGGAATTGTGTGGAACCCAGCCTTATTTACAGTGTACATTTTCATTTTGCGGTGAATTATCTTTTGAGTTTCTTGAGGCTAATAATGACATAAAAACTCTAAATTTGGTCTCATCAGACCACATGATTTGTTTCCAGTCTAATTTTTATGCTTCCTAGAAAACTGAACCCTTTATTTCTGATTAGCCTCACTGATAAGCATCTACACAGCTGTTTACTCCCAATCCCTTGAGTTCTTTTCAACTTGTATGTGTGGAAATGCTCCTACTTTTACCAATAAACATTACTTGAAGTTTAGCTGTTGAAGTCTTTTGAATTGAATTCATCAAACATGTGACCGTCTGTGACCTCTTGCTTGATGCAGGCCAGTAATTTGACACTTCTGAAACAGAACTTTGTTTTTTCCATGACAACAGGATGTGTCTTCGGACATGGTTGTTTAGAAAATAAGAAGCTGCTCATTGCAACAGTTAGAGTTCAATAAATTGTTGTCGGCTTAATCAAATGAATCTCTGCTTTAATTACCAAGTGGAATGCTATTACCTTTTAGCATTGCTAAATTCAAGTGCTGACTGTTGTTGGCCAGGTTATCTCTGTGTTTGCTTATATTTTATTTTTATTGTTGCATTCTATATTTACATTTTTTCATCATGACTTTTTTTCAATGATTTATTAATATTATATGGAAGAATAAACATGCTAATGAAGTATATTAATTTGAAATTGTTTTTATGCATATTTATTTATATGTTTAAATACTTAAAATGTGTGAAAATTTTTCAGATTGTTTTCTTAATGTTATTAACATTTATTAACATGATAAATTATTTATCAGTAATATAATATAATATAATATAATATAATATAATATAATATAATATAATATAATATAATATAATATAATATAATATAATATAATATAATATAATATAATATGAATAAAAAATAAAAAAGATTCTGCCTTTTCAGATCTCTTGTAACACTTGTTTGCTCTTTCAGGATGGCAGAGCTCCTTCAGGCGTGCTGGTCTGTGCCATGTTCTGTTTCTGCCATCTTTTCGCCAACCCGGTGCCAGCCATGCAGCTTCTCAGCGCCAAGAGGCCTGGATCTGGCCTGTGGCCCTCCCATAGGAGGTACAAGCAATCAGACCACAGCTCTGAAAAAGTGTAGCTTTGATCAAAAAAATAACAAATGGGTGAAGAGCTATTGAACAGTAAACTCAACAAATAATTCAAGCAACTGGTAACTGTACACAAGTGTAATATACAGTCTTCCTGAATTATTAGCCTCCCTGTATTTTTCCCACTTTCTGTTTAATAGTAATAAGATATTTTTCAACACATTTCTAAACATAATAGTTTGACTTAATAATTTCTAATGACTGATTTATTTTATCTTTGCCATGATGACAGTGTATAATATTTTACTAGGTATTTTTCAAGATACTAGTATTCAGCTTGAAGTGACATTTAAAGGCTTAATTAGGTTAATTAGGCAAAGGGTTAATTAGGCTATTAGGCTAATTAAGCATGTCAAAAATATTGTATATTGCTTAATAAAATTAACCTTAATTTTTTAAATTAAAAATTGCTTTCATTCTAGCTGAAATAAAACAATTAGGACTTTATCTAAAAGAAAAACATATAGGAAATACTGTGGAATATTTGTAACTCATTTTGGAAATATTTGAAAAAAGAAAAACAAATCACAGGAGGGCTAGTAATTTTGACCTTAACTGTGTATATAGTACATTTTTGTACTGACATTCTTGTTTGTGTGTGTGTGTTTTTTTTCCAGGTACATAGGTTATGTATGCAGTTTAGTCTCAGAGAAGCCCACCGTACCCCACTCCAAACCACTAGTTATTAAAACTGTCACAATCAGTCCTGTTCCCTGCTTCAACAAACAGCGCAGTGGCTGTCGGCCATTTTGTGATGTACTAATTGGTGAGACCAAGATATTTTCTACAGCTCAGGAGTACGAGAGAATGAGGTAGGCATGATGTTATATATTAAAAGCATAGTTGAAATTATATGAAATGAATGGATATATATTCCCTAGGATTGCACCAACATCAAGATTTTGCCTGATACCAATAAACATTAATTCTTTATATTTTAACTATATTTGATTTGACAAAAATCAGGGCACATTTACAAAAAGCAATTTTTAGGTCCTCTTTTTTATGGATATCATAGTGTTTCATTAGTCGGTTATCCAGTTATCTTTTTTATAAGTCAGAAGAACAGGGTTAAACAAAAATAAATTATTTAATCATTTATAAACACTTATTTAAATCTGAAAGCTATTAAACTAAATTGTCCTCCTGACAGGAAGTTGAATTGAAGTTTGAAAGGGAATAAAGTACAAATTGCTGAATTGAAATTCAAAGTAGTTCAAGGTTTCGATCTTGAAGGTTTACAATAAGGGTAACCAACCCTGTTCCTGGAGATCTACCTTCATGCAGATTTCAGCTCCAACGCTGATCAAACACACCTGTATGAATTAATTAGAACTTGAACAGCACTTGATAATTACAGACAGGTGTGTTTAATATGGGTTGCAACTGAAATCTGCAGGAAAATTGATCTCCAGGAACAGGGATGGTCACCCACAATATGTTGTTTGGATCTATTTTTTATTTTTTTGAATAAAAATTAATATTAATAAAGATGAATTAATAATATAATCTAATTATTTTCCCATATGTTGCTTGTTTGCTGAACATTCAATATTATAATAGGTGAATATAGCTTTATCATTTATAACATTTGTTTTATTTATTGGTGTAATGGTGTTGTAATGTACTGTGTGTGCATGTTGGTCTCAGAGAACACAGGATTCAGGAGGGCAAAGTGGTGTTTCCTGTGGGAGTGAGCGCACAAGGAGACGTGGTGATTTCAGTCTATCACATGCGCTCTCATGCACTTCAGGCCAAGGTATGAGACTGATTACTTTAAATCTAGAATATGATGTCATGTGTAGCTGTCCCGACTGAATGTTTGCTACATTAGTTTTTTGGCAATGAGTTCAACGCTGTGTTGTTTTGCAGGTAACAAACACCCAGATATTCCAGATTCAGTTCCACACTGGTTTCATTGCCCCTGGCAGCACAGTCTTGAAGTTTATGAAGTAAGTGTTTCTTTTCCACCCCTTTTATAATCGTTGCACTGAAATGGTGGAATATGTGAGACAGATCGTCTAAAAGATTTAAGCAGAAGCTCAATCTGGGCATCATCTGCAAAACAGTGGTAACCCAGACCATACTTTTGAATGATCTGCCCAACAGGCAACACACAAATAATAAAAAGAGTAGGACCCAATACAGACCCCTGAGGGACACCCTGCTGCAATGGAATTGTTTAAGATCTTTTTGCACCAGAATAGACAAATTGCTTGCTTTCCGAAAGATATGATTCAATCCAGTTTAAGGCTAAACCAGAAGAACCAATCCACTTTTGCCATCTGTCCAGAAGTAGAGTGACAAATGGTATGAATGCGGCACTAAGATCTAACAAAACCAAAATGCCACAAGCCCCAGAATCTGCTGCAACTATAAGATCATTTATTACCCTTAACAGGGCAGTCAGTATTGATTAATAGACTACATGGTTATTTAAATGGCAAAAAAAAAGTAGCCATGAAAATAAAATAACTAAATTAAATTTTCAGTTTCCAGTTTTAGTTTCCTTTTTCCTTTCAGTTTCTGCTTTTTTTGTCACTCAAAACATCACAATAAATTGTAATGCAGAACAAAATGATGTTGCATCAGACCCAACAAAAACATAAAAAACATCAAACACATATAATCAACTAACTAAATAAAACAGCTTTTATAACTTCATAAATATATAAAAATACAGTTATAAAAAATATAACCCAATTTTAAAATCACAGAAGGAAATTAATTAATACTTAAGTAACTATTGCACAGTTTGTTATAATAGTTATAATATTAACATATTGTTCTCATTAAACTATTTATTGAAGTTTATAGTAATATTTAAGATTTGATATTATTTAAAAGTCTTATAATGACAGGATAAAAACTATCATGAAACCACGCTGATTTGCTTCTCTGGCTTCTGTAACGCTGATGAACAGGAGCAGACTTTGGCCAGGGTGGGTTGGATCCCTTAAAATGCTATTTGCTCTAGACTGAGAGCGTTGTTGATACAGCTCCTCGATAGATGTCATTTTGACTCCAACGGACCTTTCAGCTGATTTTATTTTCTTCTTAATGGTGTTCTTGTCAGATACATTGCTATTCTCATACTAAAGAGAAATGCCAATAGTGAGAACACCCTCAAGAGCTTCTCTGTGAAAAGTTGTAAGGATTGATGGGCTGAGGTGTGCTCTTTTTAACCCTCTCAGAAAGTGCAGCTGTTGGTTCGCTTTCTTTGCAAGACAAGTAGTATTGAGAGACCAGGTCAAGTTCTCAGTAATGTGGACCCCTAGGAATTTTACCTGCTGTACAGTCTCTACTGCAGTGTTGTGAATATATACAGGGGAGTAAGAGGGGCGTTCACCAACTCCTTGGTTTTTTTGTTGTCGCTGCACAACAATGTAGCTGAAATAAAATATCTTAATAATAATTAAATATAAAATATCTTTAAATAATAAATAAAACATCAAGTATTTGCCAAAAAATCTCATTATCTTAATGATGCTAAAATGAGAGTAAACTAGAACTGCACAGCATATATGAACTTTTATGTATAATAAAAATATATAATTTCCACTGCAAGATAGTTTAATTGTGCTGCAAAATGGTGATTTGATATGATTAAAATAATTACAAATTTTAAAGTTGGCAATGTAAACGTATGTCAAAATGCATTCTGAACAATTCAATTTATGCTTTTCTTATCAAATTAACTTTTCAATGTAACCTCAAAAACTCAAAAAAGACCAATTTCACCACCCTACATCTTATATTTTTTAATCATTTACACTTGGATGTACAACACAAGTACCATAGATAATATCCTTGAGAATACTCTCTGAGAGAAGATACTAGGGAATACTTTCATTTCATTCAATCATTTAAAATATGATGCAACTAAAAATAAAGAACATATTTGTTTTTTTTTTAAGTCTGTGTGTATGTGTTTGTCCAGGACAGAGCTGGATGCCTGTGATTCTCCAGAGAAATACCCACAGCTGTTTCATGTGCTGATAGATATCGAGGTTGAAAGCACGGAGAAACAGAAAGATCTCACTCCACCATGGGAACAGTTTCCCACCAAAGACCTGAGCCCCAATGTGCTCTTCTCCTGCCATCAGGAACACCAGGATGCACTTGCTATTGCAGGTACAGTACAAACACACACTTTATAATCTTTATAGGCAAGGCAAGTTTTTTTCTATAGCACATTTCACACACAATAGTTATTCAAAGTGCTTTACATAAACAGGAGTAAAAAAGACAAGTATAAGAAAATAAAAATAAATAATAAAAGTGATTAAAAACAGAATAAAATGTGTTAAAACAGGTTCTAAAAGAATGAAAAAGAAAAGAAAGATATAATGGTGTGATCTGTCAGACGTAGCACAGTGCTCACTCAGTAAAGGCACAGCTAAACAGATGTGTTTTAATGCAACACTATAAAATATATATAAAAAACATGCAAAAATTATAAACAAATGTTTTTGGCTTTTAATATTTTAATGCAAGTTCTTTGGCTGAGAGCATTAGAGTTAGAGCTGAAATTTTGTTCACATTACATTAGAGCTGCACAATATATCATTTCAGCATTGATATCTCAATAACGATTGAATCCACAAAGAAAAAAAAAAAATTAAATAAACAAAAATTCTGGATTGTAGTTGACCAGATATTATGTGGTATAGGTAAATTGGGTAAGCCAAATTGTCCATAGTGTATGTATGTGTGCGAATGAGTGTGTATGGGTTTCCCAGTAATGGATTATGGCTGGAAGGGCATCCGCTGCGTAAAACATATGCTGGATAAGTTGGCGGTTCATTCTGCTGTGGCGACCTCAGATTAAGGAAGGGACTAAGCCGAAAATTGATGAATAAATTATTTCTGTTCCACAATACTCTTCGACTCCCCAGAAAATCATAAAAAGTCGTTTATTTCATTTGTATCTTTGCTCTGTTGTGTTTAACTTTGCTTGTTGTTTATTAAGTTTATTTTATGCACATACAAAATCATCTCAATCATTCTAAAACTATGAATTCTTTACAAATAGAGCTATTCAAATCATCTGGTGCAATTGTACTCATATCACAGTATATATCGTAGTAAAATGTTGCAATGTCAGTCTTTTTCCAATATAGTGCAGCCCTAAATTACAATCATGATGATTTTGCTTACAGTATAAAAAGTAAATCAACATTGTGGATAATCATAATGACTTCAGTGCTTTTATTTGGCCTTTAAGTTCTTTATATTTTAAATATCAACTCTTCTATCACATTAAAAAATATTAAGCATATTGCATATCTTAAGTAGACTAGAGGGTTTAAACACTAAAACCTGAACCACACTGTTCCAGTTACTATGACCATTTATGTGAAGCTGCTTTGACACAATCTACATTGTAAAAGCGCTATACAAATAAAGCTGAATTGAATTGAACTAGAGGGTTTTATGGTAGACAAACATGCATTTATTTGATTGAATTAAATATGAAATTATTTTTACACATTATTTATACCTCAATATAATTGTAATGCATTTTCAGCAGACATGACTTTTTTTAAAATTATTTTTTAGGTATTTTTCACCTTTATTGTATAGGACAGTAGAGAATATTGACAGAAAAGCATGGGGAGCAGAGAGAGGGGAAGTATCGGCATAGGACTGTGAGGCAGGAATCGAACTCTGGTTGTGTTGACGGACTAACCACTACACCACTGGCGCCGACATTAGTTTACATCACAATAAAATTGTGAGCCTGAATATGCAAACTTTAGAAGGGAATCAAAGTGTACACTTTATAAAACTAAACTGCTGTCAACTGCTTTTAACAGTATAAACTCCAGAATCACAAATGTGTGTAAACTATGCTTTCATGTGCTTTAAATGTTCAATCTACAGGCCTTATTATCAGAAAGTAAGCACAGTTGCTGGTTTCATGCCACTTTAGTATGAGAAACACATTCAGTATTAACTGATGTTTTAGTTTGCCTCAAACTGTTCATTTACTACTTATTGATACATAGTAAACCAGATTTAAACTTTTTTTTTTGCAATTAGGCCACATAAAAAGCACTGAAATCATTGTGATATCCACAAAGTTAACATCTGATAAATTAAAGTATAGAATCAAGGGATGTGCAATAGGGTCATGCTAAGATACTTATAAACAACAAGGATGCAAGCTAATAAGCAACTAGTTGTCCCCATACTGAAGTGTTACCCAGTGTTTCATATGACCAATGGTGACATGATGGTCTAGTGGATTTTAGTCTCCAAGCATATGCTCAGTAGTTTGTCCCCCAGTGAATCTTTGAACAAGTCAACTCATCAGTCATTTGCTGGCAGTCTGTAGAGTATTTGTGCTTAATTAAACTAAACACCATCTGTTTAATGTACTTTATTCTCTGCCTGGAAGATGAAATGGAGGGCTTGGACTTGGAAGGTAAGATGTAGAGTTGGAGGCTCCTGAGAGTCAACAGTACATGGTTGATTAATAGATTTAAAGTGTATGTAGACAATTTGATTAGTGCTGTAATTTTCAGAACATATGTCACATTTATTTTCTTCTCCATATGTATAGTGTCTAATATAGTGCAATTAACATCAAGCATGTAAAATATGCACAAAATAGAGATAATTTAGATAAATGAAAGAGACAAGCGAGTATTTGTAAAGAACATTTGCCACAAAATATGCTTAGGCTTGATGTGTATTGCAAGTAATGTTTATAGTGTATGTCACAAAGATTTCTTGTTTGTTTATATATATATATATATATATATATTTTTTTTTTATTTATTTATTTTTCTATTTTGAATACTGGCGATGCGGGGGCGCAGTAGGTAGTGCTGTCGCCTCACAGCAAGAAGGTCACTGGTTCGAGCCTCGGCTGGGTCAGTTGGCATTTCTGTGTGGAGTTTCCATGTTCTCCCCTTATTCGCGTGGGTTTCCTCCGGGTCCTCCGGTTTCCCTCATAGTCCAAAGACGTGGTATAAGTGTATTGGGTAGGCTAATTTGTCTGTAGTATATGCGTGTAAATCAGTTTGTATGGGTGTTTCCCAGTGATGGGTTGTGGCTGGAAGGGCATCCGCTGCGTAAAGCATTTGCTGGATAAGTTGGCGATAAGTTGGTTCATTCCGCTGTGGCGACCCCAGATTAATAAAGGGACTAAGCCGAAAAGAAAATGAATGAATGAATAAATTCATTTTTAAATACTGAGGGGACGTAAAATACCAGTTTATAATATTTATAAATGTTTGGTTTCATTTAGGACTATGGGTAGCCTATTTTAAATTGTCTAAATAAAATATTAAAATATGACTTATAAATCAATGCAACTTGTTGTTGTTGTTTTTATTCTTCAGTGCTTTTTCCATTCAAATAATTTAAGCACATTTTAAGACATTCCATTAAGAGAATTCTCGACGGAAGTGACAAGATGTTCATAAACAAAACAAAATTGCATTTAAAAAACTAGGTAAAAACTGTATATATATATATATATATATATATATATATATATATATATATATATATATATATATATATATATATATATATATATATATATATATATATGAAGAGTGATGGGCTCACAACAAGAAGGTCGCTGGTTCAAGCCAAGTCAAGTGTATTTGTGTCAATGAGAGTGTATGGATGTTTCCCGGTGATGGGTTGCGGTTGGAAGGGCATCCGCTGTGTAAAACATATGCTGGATAAGTTAGCGGTTTATTCCGCTGTGGGGACCCTTATTTTAATAATGGGACTAAGCCAAAAAGAAAATGAATGAATGAATAAAGAGTTTGTTTTACAGTGATTTAACAGTGTCAGTGTTATGACAATAATTTAAATGCAAATTTTTTAGAAAGTGATGATTTTTTTCTCTTTTACACAAGGGATTTACACAATGCTTTATTCAGAGATGTTTTATATATTTTTATGAACAAAAGTTTGCAAGTTCAGATAAAAAATTTATAGTAAATTGTGACACATTTTCTGGAAAATACAGTAATTGAATAGTATGATACCTTAGTATTAGTGAATTTAAAAGGTACAGTGTGATATCACTAGGCTTCACTAGTAAAAACATTTCAGAATATTTAGAAAACCGCTCCTAAGTTGTATAGACACGTTTGATGTTGTTTTATTAACAAAACCTTTTCTCCGGTCTGTCCCTTAGATCCCGCTCAGGGCCATAGCAGTTGCGGAGGCAGAGTGGGGCCGAATGAAGAGAGCGAACCATCTGATGATGAGATGCTGTCCCTTTCTAGCCAGCAGAGCAACGCGAGTAATGAGAAATCAAAAGCAGCTAAAAGGCCAGAGCCGCAGGCCGCAGCGCCGCCTCCTCCAGCAGCTGAGGAAGTGGATCTTCTGGGTCTGGATGGAGACGCTGCTAAAATTCCTCCATCCTCCCCTCAACCCCCAGCCAACAACACTACCACAGACCTGCTGGGGGATCTGTTTGGAGCTCCACCAACACCACAGCCAGCCAGCTGTCCAGGCTCTGCTCAGTCCACGCCGCGGAGATCCGCACAGTCCTCCTCACCCGGACCTTCACCCCGATCTGGAAACAGTGAGTGTGCTTTATGGTTCAGTAACAGAGATGGACAGCTGAACTCATTTAGCTGAGATGTTTGTCAGGAGTCAGTGGAGTGAAGCAGCATCTTGATTTGAATGATGGAATTATTCATTTGAATGGGATTTATTTGATTTATTCCATAACATTATTACTGTAAAGTTTGGACTGACAAAGAGCTAGGATGAGAAGAGGTAGTTTCAGAAGTGTAAGTTCAATTTATTTTAAAAAGAGAGTGTAATACAAAAAGGGCAAAAACACACAGAAGCAGGGAAAACAGCTTTATAAAAGTAAAGACTATGCTGCAAAAAAGTCAGCCACTGCCATCAGTTTTGATTATTTTTTTACCCAAATTTGACAGGGATTTCTCACTGAGTCTATCAACCTGACTGGCCTGTTCAGCTGTACCTGTGCTTGTCAATGGCAGGGTAGCCTTGTCTTTCTATTGACTTTCTTATTAGTTGAGGAGAAAGAGTTAATAGGTTAACTGATGGGCTAAACAGCGCATCGGCTAAAACACTGGAAGTAAAATGAAATGGGAACAAACAAAAACAATGATCTGACAATACAGTATTAATATCCATATATCATATATACATGTGCACATTCAAAGATTACCAAAAGGTTAATGTTTGTACCCAAACTGCATTGATTTCTAAATCCCAGTATGCTGGTGGTGGAACTGGGTCTTGGGTCCGTCATTAATGGTGCTTGTAGCTATATTGTTTTTCCATTCAAAAGTTTTTTTACTAATAAAGTCTAATATTTACTGCTTACTAATAATATTTATTACTCATGAAGTCATTATTATTATTTAGCAGACACTTCATTGGACCAATTAGTTTTTTCTTTGATTTATTCTTTTGAACTTTAAAGTAATTAATAATAACTCCACATAACTGTTTATTATAACTATTATTTTTTATTCGAAATATTACTGTACCTAAAAGCACATGCATGCATACTTTTAACATTTTGCTTTTGTAAATTTTAGCAAATTGATTGATTGCTATATATTTTTTATTTACATATTGTATTTGGGGCAAATTTGTGACAAATTAACATAGCAATGTGTGGATATTTGACTAAACTACTGGATCTGTCTTAAAAATGTGCATTTCAGCTAAAGATTCTGAATACTATCTTTAACTCTTTAGCTTTCGACCCGTTCGGGTCTGGGCCCGCTCCTGCCCCTAAGCCACAGGATTTCATGGGTGCGTTCCTGGGTCCAGGTAATATGGGGCAGCCAGACCCCTTCCTGCATGCTGCACGATCTCCGTCTCCTACAATGCAGAACATGGGCATGGGTAAGGCATGCGCATTTGTCTCTCTGTACTGCCAGTGTGTGGGCAACATCACCATAACAACCAGCAAAGCTCTTTTGTGTTCAAATCCTTTAGAGTATTATCATCAAAACAGCCTTGCAGATTCATCTTTAACAACAGCTCTGTTGTAAATATAATTAAAGTGCTGATATTTTAGAGAAAGTGGAATTGTTATTATTAGATTATTATTTGATTTATGTACAGTGTGTGTGATTAATAGCATCATAAGCACAGTTAAATCCTGTAATGTGTATGTGGGAATATTTAAGGCAACATTTGACATTGTTTTTAGTCATAAATGCTGCAGGTTGGTAAAAGACTGTCTTGGATGTAGCATTAATTGTAGCTTGCATGCTTTATGTAATCTGCATGTGATTTTATTCTCTTTTTTTTTTACATAATAATATGATTTTGAAATTGGCTGAAAAGTTTTTGTTTCTCTGAATGCCTTGCAGCCACTGTACAATAATGAAAAGTGCTGCTATTTATTTATTTAGAATTGTAGTGTTTTTCAAGCAGTCTGCAGAGTTGAAAAAAGTACTGCATGATGCCAAATACTGCCGAGCAGATTGCAATGTATGGTTACTCAGAGCCTTGCATTGAAGCTACTGAAACTGAGAAAAATATAATACATAATAATGCTTCAAAATGTTTTTTATTATCCCTTACAGTCTCATTCCTCATAAATAATCAATGTATATATTATATATTATATTATATAATGTATATATTACATAATGTATATATTATATAATGTATAATTATAATGTATATATAATAGTCAATGTATCTCATTCCTCATAAATAATCAATAATCAATACACACACACACACACACACACACACACACACACACACACACACACACACACACACACACACACTAACGGTCAAAAGTTTGGGGTCAGTAGGATTTTTAAATGTTTTAAAATAAGCTTATCCTGCTCATCAAGGTTGCATGTATTTATTTAAAAATACAGTACAAAGTGAAAAATGTTATTGCACTATAAAATAACTGTTCACAAGGAGTTTATAATTTAATTTAATCTTTTACTCCAGTGATTTAAATGATGAATGTTCAGCTTCATTACTCCAGTTTTCAGTCACACGATCCTTCAGACATCACTCTAATATTGATTATTATTATTATTATTATTAGTGGTAATAGTAATGAAAGCAATACTGACTGGAGTAATAATTTACTATAAATTACATAAAATAAGTAATAAATAAATAAGTATTTAATAAAACAATTGGAAATAACCAAATATATAGTAAATACTTATCATATTAATGGCTATATGTTTATTAAATTTATTTTGCTTCTTTATTTGACAGGAACAATGGCCAATCAAAGAAATGCCCCAGAATTAACTATATAGCTAAATTTCGTCTGCAGTATCTGGGCAGAAAAAATACAAATCATATAACAAAAACATAAACACAAAATCACAATAAAATAAATAGCATCAAGATTTAAATTATAAACCCGCACTTAATGGTGACACACCCGATGCATTTTTAATCAGCATTTCAACTGTAGCTTGATTTGTTCTAATGTGCATAAAGTCTAATGTTGTTTGGTAGATTATTCCAATTATTGTTAACTCTTACAGAAAAAGAGACTAAAATCAGTGACTCTAAAAGTCTTTACACAATCAAGCTCCAGTTCGTCTTTAATTTTCAGTATGAAGAGAATCCTTTAAAATCCTTCTAAGGTGCACCATTATTACCATTTTTTATTACATTAAACAACAATTAAAATGTGTGTTAACAAAAATATACACGATTTATAAATGTCACGTAGGGAACATCTGAACATAAATGCTCTACAAGCATACTAGTTTTAAATTTTCGTGTTTAGTTAGAGATTTTCACTGCATTTCATGTTTTTAAAGTGAAAATGAATGTTATTTATTAGCGATTTTATGCTTGTCGAATAAATGGGTATGACACCTGGCAAGCATCTTTTTGTCTTAAAAAGACGCCCAAACATAGAGGTCTTTGCTAAAACAAGGCTGAAACACCAAACTTTTGAACCAAAATCTATACTGTTTATTTGTTTATTTATTAGCAAATTATTGCCTGTGGTAATTGATGACATTGAGACAAGTGGTTTTTTTTATCACAGGCCGCAGCTCACCTGTTCCTCCCTCAACTCCCACTGTCAACATCCAGCAGCAGAACTCAACAGGAGCCTGGGAATGGAACAAACCAGCGGCTGCAGGTGAGTGTGGTGGTTTGATCATAGTCATAGCGACACCTGGTGGTTTCATTTGAAATTACAGCTAAAAAACAAAATGACTCACTGCTGAGTCTGACCTGCCATCTGGACTGGTGTGATGAGCTCATGTAGCTCATGAATGTTAATGCCTCATGAAACATTATCTGGCTGACATTATTTTAAATCAGCAGAGCTGGATACTGCTTATCGTTATTTTTAATGGCTTTGATAAGGCTCAGTAGCAAAGATATTTGTTTGTGGCAGTAGTTTAGATGTTTGGATAAAATGCTGACGACATTAAAAGACTATGCTATTTTATTTAATGATGGTTTAAAACTTTTATAATTCGCCACTGTCTTTTAAACAACTATGGTTTGTCCATATAGTGGCTACAGGTTTTAAATAAGTATAAATATGATACAAATTGCTACGATCATTTATTGTTTTATGCATTTTATGTACAGGAAAGACTAAGTTTAATTTTTACATAAATATGTCTGTTACACTGAATGACAAACAAACACCACCAATTTCACCGTCTTTTATTACATTTCAGAAAATCATTTAAAATATTAAAGTTTACTTGCACACTGTGTGTATTTATATATGTATACACAATTTATATAATCTATATAATAAATTATATTGTAATACAATTTTTATATCATATATATATATATATATATATATAAAATTTATTAATGAGTTCCCTGATTTTACACCAAACTTAAATTCATAATCTCTATTTATTTCATTATTATTACTCTAGAAAAGCACATTGGCGATTTGCTTTTATAATTTATTTCGCCTCATTTGAATTGTTGTAAGAAGCAGAGTTTGCAGCCATATTACAGAATTCAATCAGTTATGAATACATATCTTGTTTATCATTTTAGGTGGAGGTTTTGGGATGGGCAGTAAATCAGCCAGTACTAGTCCAACAAGCTCAGCCCATGGTACACCCACCCACCAGACCAAACCGAACACTCTTGACCCTTTTGCTGATCTGGGTAATCTGGGAGCAGGCCTTGGAGGAGGTAAATCATATTTTAAAGTTCCTTATGTCAATAAATTCACAATGAAACACTAAATAACACAATATTAGAAGGCTTGCATTAAAACATAAATTAACAATGTCTTTTTGACCTTCTGAATCTTGCAAATATTTGCTAGCTGTACTTTCAGTGATGTGACATTAAAATATTGTGATTTGTGTTTCGAAGTTTAACCTATGTGTTTTGGATATGATAATAAGTATTTAAGACAAAATTAACCAATTTTTTGTTGCATTTTTATTATAAATCAGCATTTCTATTAATGTTATGACCTGATAAATGTCTGATATTCACCGCTTATTGGGCAAAGAAACTCATATGGAAACTTCATTGACATTGATTACAAATACAGTATATATATATATATATATATATATATACACACACAGCAAATATATATATATATATTGTCACAGAAGTTCAAAGGTCTTGTAATAACCGCCAGAGACACTCCAGGGTTTTCCTAATGAGTATTTCATTGAGTGCCCTATAAAGGGTTAAATTCTGCACTATTTAATGTTCCCAAGAAGTTCTTTGAAATGGCATTTTTTATGTTTGATTCAAAGACAGGGTGGGACATATGGTAACTCCTCTTCTTTCAAAAACAGCCAATAGCATTTCATTTTTATCACTACTCTGCCAGTGTTTGAGATCAAATAGAAGGGGGTGGGATATGTCAGATAATAGAGAGCATTTGATTGGTCAAAAGATTTGATGAGAAACTGATCTATGAGGTGAAAATCATTGACTCAATTAGGCGGTAGTGACAAACTTTGAATGTTTATGTTTTTAAATGCAAATGTTGTCACTGTTTTAGAGCACTCTTAGCTTATACTGTACATCAGAGTTTCTCAACCTTGTACCTGAAGGCACAACAACAGTACACATTTTCAACCTCTTCCTGATCAAACACACCTGAATCAACTCTGCAGAACATTAGAAGAGACTGTAAAACCTGAATGAATGTGTGAGATAAGGTAGACATCTAAAATACGTACTGTTGGTGTGCCTCCAGGAGTTGGGAAACACTGCTGTAGATTGACTAACACACTGATAATAAAAATATATATGTTAATTTCATAATTAAAAAAATAGTAATAATAGACCTTTTTTGTAAGTTAAACAGTTTAAAAAATCTATTTAATAGCACCATTTGTCAATAAATTCATCATGGAATCATCTTTAAGTCTTAATTCCTGTTCTACCCCTTAACTCTTCCCCTTACCCCTCGTTTTGTGCGTTCATGTGAAGGGGTAGGGGTGATCCAATTCTCTTTAGCATGAGGACGTAGGACTAATGGGAAGGGCTAGCTAACCCTTGAAACAGAGATTTTCTTGGACCACACTTAAAAACCAAGTGGTACAAAAATTTCCCTGAGTAAGCCATCTACAACGGCATAGCTGTACACGGAAGTAAGGAGATGCACAAATTAGTATTTTTTTGTAACTGTTACGAATATTTACAACAAACAAGCATATTTTTTAATACATTCATAACAATGTTTATGTTTTACCATCATGGTTTTGTAAAAAAACATAAAAAAATGCTAAATTTTGCTATCTACATTTACATTTACATTTAGTCATTTAGCAGACGCTTTTATCCAAAGCGACTTACAAATGAGGACAAGGAAGCAATTTACACAACTATAAGAGCAACAATGAATAAGTACTAAAGGCAAGTTTCAGGTCTGTAAAGTCTAAGAAGGGAAGTGTTAGTAGTTTTTTTTTTTTTTTTTTTTTTCAGTTAGTTAGTGTGATATTCAAAGAGGCAATTGCAGATTAGGAAGTGAAGTGGAGACTAAATAGTTGAGTTTTTAGTCGTTTCTTGAAAATAGCGAGTGACTCTGCTGTTCTGATGCAGTTAGGGAGTTCATTCCACCAACTGGGCAGATTGATCGTGAGCGTTCGCGAAAGTGATTTTTTCCCTCTTTGGGATGGAACCACGAGGCGACGTTCATTCACAGAACGCAAGTTTCTGGAGGGCACATAGATCTGCAGAAGTGAGTGCAGATAAGAAGGTGCTAGGCCAGAAGTCACTTTGTAGGCAAACATCAGAGTTTTGAATTTGATGCGAGCAGCAACTGGCAGCCAGTGCAAACCGACTAGCAGCGGAGTGACATGTGCTCGTTTAGGTTCATTGAAGACCACTCGTGCTGCTGCATTCTGGAGCAGTTGAAGAGGCTTGATAGAGTTAGCTGGAAGCCCAGCTAGTAGAGAGTTGCAGTAATCCAGTTTGGAGAGAACAAGAGCTTGAACAAGGAGTTGAGCTGCATGTTCAGATAAGAAGGGTCGGATCTTTCTGATGTTATAGAGTGCAAATCTGCACGATCGAGCAGTTCTAGAAATGTGGTTAGAGAAGTTTAGTTGGTCATCAATCGTTACTCCAAGGCTTTTCACCATTTTGGATGCCGTAATGGTTGCCCCATCTATAATCCATAATAATAAATCTTGTATAATAGTTCCACAACATACTTTTACACCTGTCACTCCATGACACTCAAATACCTACTCAAAAAGAATTATGTTTTATACAGAATGAGCTTTTTACAGTGTTTCCTATATTGTTTATGTTGTTTCTGTGTGTTTACATAGATGGATATGGCCAGGTTGTAAATGCACAGTAAAGTTATGATCTTATTGCCACATTATATCGTAAGGATAACATTATATTGTTACTGGTGATTGATATTGATGTTTGCTGATTTCCTGAAGATAAATGGCAAAAAAAAAAAAACGCAACTGGAATAGTGACCGCAGCCGCCATCATCGATCTCATATAAAGTAAAATTTGAAGCCCTTCCCCCTCACACTCTGTTTCAAGGGTCAAGGGGAAGAGGTAGTAGTACAGAAATAGAATTGGGATTGGGCCTAAACTCATTATGTTCTCAAAGGTGGTTCAGGATTTTCCAGCAAACCCACAACACCGACTGGATCTGGAGGTGCATTTCCACCAATGGGCTCCCCCCAGCGTCCCGCACCCTCCCCCCAGCACACCGCATCTGGAGGCTGGCATCCCAACACCGGCTTCCCCTCGTGGCAGGCTGGAGGAGGAGCTCAGTGGCAGCCACAGGCTCAGGGGACTCCGACTAAAGCACCCCCAGCATCCATGCCACACACTTCACCACAGAACAGACCCAACTACAATGTCAGCTTCTCTGCCATGAGCGGAGCATCGCCTGGAGCCCCTGGCCCAAAAGCACAGCCTAATATGGGTGAGCAACTGGACGGAAACTGACCGGTGACATGTCATTAAGTTTGTTTACATGGACACTAATAATCAAATTTTTATGCAATTAAGACAATACTCTGATTAAGAGTCTACCATGTAAACAGGGATTTTTAAAATTAATTTAATCCAACTGAAGTCATAAATAATCAAACTAAACAGAAATTGAAGACATGTGGAGTATGTTGATTTTAGTTGCATCATTGAAGTGTAGTACAGACATGTAAACATCTTAATCAAACTATTTCCTTCGTGTAGGATTTTTGTTGGATTTTGTGAGAGGATAGTCCATACACACACACACACACACACACACACACACACACACACACACACACACACACACACACACACACACACACACTGTTTGACAGTATTCTCTGCACCTACGAAGTCAGCAAAGGACCACAGACACCGGCATTGCGAAATGCAGAGGTTTTTTTCCCATACAGCGTACGATATCAAATTCCAATAAAAACAACACTCTTCCAGCAGTTTATACTCCTATCCAAAATCTTGTTTGTCATGGGGGGCATGCATGAAATGTTCCTGAATGAAAGTGAAAGTGCCAAACCGCAGTTGAAGTCGACAAATTAAAAATGAAACACCCGAAATTACATGAAAGTCTAGAAGAAATGTGGATAGCTATGACACAATGATGTTAATCAATTATGTGTTATAACATGTAAAATGAGATCATGAAATGAACATTCAAAAAGCAGCTCATATAAACACCTTCATCGCATTATTGTTTTTTTCAGATTAAGGCAAATAATTTGATTACTAATGTCCATGTAAACATAATCATTGAACACTGGTCTGGTGTAAAGGGGTGGTTCGACCAGAAATGTATTATTTATTTCCCCTGATGTCTTTCCAAACATGTACATCTTTGTTAATATTTCAAAATGCAGATGGTTGTATTTTTTTAATGAAGCCTGAGAGGTCTCTGTCTTGCCATTGAAAGTCAATGCAATAGTACTAGTTAAATGTAATAATAAAAGATCGAAAAATGTTGGAGATGTGTCAAATACACTTTATGTGATGATCACTCGTTGAAAGAAGTCAAATCAGTAGATAAATATGAATTTATTTTACAACGTGTTAATGACCTTTTAGGGTCTTTTAAGTATTTGCTACCTGGATATTCAATTGTGAGAAAAATATCTTATGTTGTTTAAAAAAACTTGATCTGTGTTGAAAGAATAAGTATTATGTGTTTGATAATATGTAAATGGTGAAATCATAATTATTGTATTGATTGTTAATAGCAAAATTCTATTACGTTTAGAAATGCATTTTAATTGTAAATTTGAACTTATATTAATGTTATGACCAGGTAAATGGCTAATGTAAAAATTCTGTACTGTATAAAAATAAGAATAAAACATCACAATATTTTACAATTATGTATTGCCTAAAGGCTTAATTCTAATAGCAACATTAGATAAAACATTATTAAAAAGTTTTTGAAGATCATGAACACTTGAAAAATGGTAGAAAATGAAAGATTTGCTAGTAAATTAAACGGTCGATTAACAGTAACAGCAAGTAACACATTAAAGTAAACATTTTGAAGTGGAAAAAGTAAAATTTTGTGTGAAATATATTTACTTCAATAATCTTTTCATTTACAGCCTAGAAGTTTTTTTTTTAATTAAATTTTTTACAGTGTATATAAGTTACAGGTACATTAATAAAATGTCTAATATTGGTCTGCATTTCTTAATATTTTCTTAACATTTTAATTTCTACAACAACAAAGACTGCTTTAAAAGGCAACTTACATTTTTCTCTTGTTTCTTTCAGGAACCAGACCAAAGGTTTCAGATGCTAACTTTGATGACCTGCTCTCAGGCCAGGGCTTTGCTGGCGGTAAAGAGAAGAAGGGACCAAAAACCATAGCAGAAATGAGAAAAGAGGAGATGGCAAAAGAAATGGACCCAGAGAAACTCAAGGCAAACTTAAACATACCTATATTTAGCATATTCTAACTGGTCAGTGCTAATTACTGATTTCCTGTACAATTTCCGATAGTCTGGATTGCATAAACTGGTACACGGGTGCTCATGAGGGTGGACCAGATACAGCAATAGAAAAGTGCTTTTACATACTAGTTGGTATTTCGGCACCTTACACAAGCTACTGATATATCAGGAATTTCCCCATGCATCATTGGTATGATAATTATTAAACGTGTGTTGTTAGTTGTCTAAATAATGTATGAATTTGTTTTGAATATTAGTGATGCTGGTAGGGCGTGGAAGTTTAATTCAGATTTAAGTCATGGATGTAGTTCAGATGGTGCGGGACATAATAAATAGGCTACAGCAACTTTACTATTCTTGTGTCTTGGAGGAAGAAAGCAAAATAAATGTGGTCTCTGTGCAAATGGTCAATGTGGCAATTGCACCAACGAACCATCTGAAAAGCCTGGCCTTGTGCATGGTTCATGTGAACTCCAGTAAAAATGTGAAAGCACAACTGATTATGCATATAGAAATCTAATGATTTTAAAGAAATGCAAATATATATGCACATATATGTAACAAAAGTGGGCCTTTATACAGTATATGAATATGGCTGCATGTAGAATAGCCAAAGCCAATGCCTGTTGCTCCAGGTACTCTTTGAGAACTGAAACAAAACAGTGATTTGCACCACTGGCTATGGTTAATCAATGAATAACATTATTATGTTTAAATATTTATTTCAGATCCTGGACTGGATTGAAGGGAAGGAGAGGAATATCAGAGCGCTGCTGTCCACTATGCACACAGTGCTTTGGGAAGGGGAGACCCGCTGGAAACCTGTAGGCATGGCTGACCTCGTCACACCAGAGCAGGTCAAGAAGGTCTACCGCAAAGCTGTGCTGGTAGTTCACCCTGACAAGGTGAGAGATGTAAATGTTTTAACAAAGGAGGATGTCTATTGTCTTTAAAATCTCTGTGAACCAGAACTTGTTTAGACTTTCATTTCAGTATGCTGATGTACTTCCAACTGAAACAGAAGATTACCTACCCATTTTTTAGTGGACTAACTTTCATTGATTTATTATTAACCTTAAGAAAAACAATGTGAGCTAGCAAAATAAACACTTTAAAGCTAAATTAATGGTTTTAAAAACAAATCAAAAACTTTATTATTACTGTTAAAGACAACCCATAATTACCATGATGATAAGAAGGAAAATGACACAATAAAAATAAAATGTTCAGCATTATTTTCCACTGGATTTCAGGTCAAATGGGTCTTTGTGGTAATGAACTGGCTAATAAAGCAGCAAAAAATCTTTTTCTGAAATGTTAATTTCCTCCTGCTAATCTGTCTTGTATATATATAAAAAAAAATGGCCAATGGACTGAGACCATATAAAGAAATATAAATTGCAAGAGATTAAACTAAGCATATATAAAATCGAATATATATATATATATATATTTTTAAGCCAGGCATAACCAAGCGATTTACACTATATGCTAATACCAGAATGGGTACTTTTATACTATACTAAAATAGAATTGGTCACATCTTTTGTTACAATGTGAAATTTTAAAGTGTATTTGACAAAATCTTATAGTGAGAGTACTTGAATGGATGTTTTTTTTTAATAGAAATGTATCCCCCGGAAGAATTTTTAGCTATTTATCATATATTGTACTAAAAAAATGTATCTAATGTTTTTAATTTTAATTTCTTTAAATTTATTTGCATTTATTTTTTTTAATCTGTTATTGAATATAGCAGTAATTATTATACCTTTTTTTCTTATTTTATAATAAACAAATAAATAAAAATCATTTTATATGTATTTTACATTTTTTTATTGCTTGTAGATGCAGAAGCAGAAGAAAATAAACAGCAACATTAACTAGAACAGAAAGAGTACAAAGACCATTTCACAATACCCAGATTATCAGACATGACACAATACAACTTCTCTAAGAAAGCATAAGTAAAAATAGATTACATTAAATAAGTTATAAAGAAGTGTGTACGCTTTACATCTCAGCGCTCGACAAACCAATCCAGCCCATGAAGAGTTACAAGTCAGCATTACTTACTTATAACTAACCCAAAACAGGCCCATATTCAGACTTTCAATTTTCTAGAATTATTTATTTGTCTAATATAGAAACTGCATAAAGACACTGCAAAACGGTGGCTCAGTGGTTAGTACTGTCTCCTCACAGCAGGAAAATCGCTGATTCGAGTCTCGCCTGGGACAGTTGGCATTTCTTTGTGGAGTTTGCATGTTCTCCTCGTGTTAGTTTTGGTTTTCTCCAAGTGCTCCAGTTTCCCCCACAAGTCCAAAGACATGCGAATCAAGTGAACTGAATAAACTAAATTAGCCGTAGAGTATGTGTGTGTGCGCATGTGAGAGTGTATGGGTGTTTCCCAGTACTGGGTTGCAGCTGGAAGGGCATCCGCTGTGTAAAACATGTGCTGGATAAGTTGGAGGTTCATTCTGCTGTGGCGACTCCTGATAAATAAAGGGACTAAGCCGAAGGAAAATAAATGAATGAAAATTGTAATTAGAATTATCATAATGCATTCTATTTATAAAGGGTTTGCCATGAAATAGGCTTAAATTGCTAATGTGGCAATAAATAATAATAATAATAATAATAATTATTATTATTATTATTAACATTATTATTATTAAAATTGTTGAAAATGCTATTGTGATGTGTGTTCCTGAACAAACACTGCTGTGTTCTCTTTCTTCCCATCCGCAGGCTACTGGACAGCCCTACGAACAATATGCCAAGATGATTTTTATGGAACTAAATGATGCCTGGTCGGAATTTGAGAGCCAAGGACAGAAAGCTCTGTACTAAGACTTGCTGTAAATGATCACAACCAGTCAGCAGTTCCTGCCCACTTTAGACACCCCGCAACCCAGCAGTCCTTGAAATGCTCCTTTGTTATCTCTCCCACCTCCAGGACCCCTGCTTCATAGAGACGTCAGAGCTTACATCTACAGTATAGTTGTGTGTATCTCTCTATCCATCCACGTATCAGGTTAGATCATGCCCTAGGCCAACATATCTGCTGTACCAGAAGACTGCTGTTGGGAAAAGTACTGTAGCATTCAGGTTTGTCTTAAGAAACTCTTTATTTGTGTTTTCCCAGGACTCACCTGCATAACAAAGTTCAGAGTTTGCCGTTACTTATCTGTGACATATTTCTGTGAACAATATGAGTCACGAAAGTCGTCAAACAATGTCTGGGAGGAGCTTTCGGATGAGTTTTTAATGTAGTGCTGAGGAAACATCTTCTAAGAAAAAAAAAATGGAATTGTGTGTAGACACTCCAGGATACTGCAAAACAACCCATACAAACTGGATTAAATACTGCAGCAATTCAATTGGGTGTTGATTTATTAAAAGAATAGTTTACCCAAAAATAAAAATTTTCTGTTTAGCTGAAACTGTGATTCTTTGTGACCAGTAAAATACAAATGAATGGAGACTGGCACTTTGAGAGGAAAAATAAAACACATACAGACAAATTTAAATGAATCCACATGGATTTTGATGATATATTAAGGTCTTACAAACTGAAGTGGTCATTTTTACCTTTTACATTTTAAGTTTACACACTGCAAATAATGCTTTTCCTACTTAAAGTTTTTGTTTCTAGTCCAAATATCTAAAAAGAGACATTTTCTAGACAATAAAAAATACTGTCTTGTTTTTAGAAATAATATGGCAAAATCTAGCGGAGTATTTTCTAAAAACAAGCAAAATGATCTGCTAATGGGGTGAGTAAATTAGTCCTGTTTTTGCTTTAAAATGCAGCCTGTATTATCAGATTATTTAGCTTATTTTAAGAAAAACTTTTGACATTAAAATTTTTTATTTGACAATAAAAATTGACATTAATTTTGACATTAATTGACATTATTTTCAAAAACAAGCCTTTTTTTTTAGCTTGTCTAGGAAATGCTTATTAACAATTTGTAGATATTTGGACTAAAAAGAAGACAAAACTCTAAGAAACATTTTTGTAGTGCAACAGTCTATAGCAAAAATGACCAACTCATAATGATGTACAGCCTGTGTCACTGTGGACTCATATGTGAGCTGATTTAGTTAGTTGTACAACAGAGAAGACTTGTGTGTCATACTGTCCATCAAAACTGATTTTACTTGCACTTATCCTGAAGAATGTTTACATTCGGTCTTAATTTAAGTTCAAAAGCAAATTTCAGAAAAGTTTTGCAAATTTGATTGCCACTTTTAAAATGGAACTCCATTTGTAGAGGTAAACGAAGAAAATAATAAATTAAAGTAAATAGTATGTGCAATGATCTCTTTGAGGAAGTAGCTAGCATTAATGGTAATGAGACCTGGATTGATAAGTCATCACAATTAATTCTGAAGCTAGATATAGCAGGAGAGTTTGAGTTAATGTATATATAACATATTAATCTAAATTCTTTTGATATTTTAAAAAATATATTACACATAACGCAAATCATTTGCAGTTTGATTTAACTTCATTGGTTAAAAAAGTAGATATTTACCTGGTTTTAAAGAAGAGAAAGAACAATGTTGATTTTTAAAACCTAATTTGAAAACGTGTATTTTCATCTTTCCTAGAGATGGGTTGCGGCTTTAAGGGCATCCGCTGCTTAAAACGTGCTGCATAAGTTGGTGGTTCATTCCGCTGTGGCAACCCCAGATTAATAAAGAGGGACTAAGCTGAAAAGAAAATGAATGAATGTATTTTTATTATGATAATAAAGTGGTTATTAAACATTAGAATGAAGATAATGAGGAAACTCTTCATCACTCTTATGTGGAAGTGGCTTCCAAAAGGCTTTGATACAATAACAAGTGGCATTTAGATGCTCACTTTTGACTGAAATGTGCCCTGAGATGCCCAATGAATAATAACTCATTATTTGACAAAAACGTTTTGTGTTTCAGACTATTATGAATGCACACATTTGTTAACCCTATGGATTAAAAGATGTAAACAACATTTAGTTTCTTGCACAGGCTGAACATTTCACTTCATATGACCTTGATGCATCATCTGGAACAACAGATATTAACTTTATTTTGCCTTATCTTTTTATAAAGAACCATAGTTTCAGTCTATCTTCTTTAATATTCAACTGAAAAAAGAAAGAAAAAATCCTGGATGACCTGAGAATGAGTAAACTAACAGTACATTTTTATTTTTTGTGAATTGTCCCTTAAGATTTTTGCATGTTAGAGCAATGTGCGGGATTTTTTCTTCTTCTTCCATTGTATTGATTGTGTTCAAAGCTCCTGCTCACAATTAACATATGACGGGTCGGGTGTATATTTATTTGTTGGCTTTGCAATTATGAAATTTGTGAAAATAAAAGTGGGTCTCTGTCGAATTACGACTAGTTTCTAAGTCTATAGGTTAGAGGTTTAGAAAGATATGCACAAATGAAAGAACACTGAACAAAATACATTCAACCACTGAAAATTACCGTATCGTTTAACACTTATCTTCTTTCAAAGGTGAAGTGATGTGGTGCTGAGGGGCAAAAGCACAAAAAGTACGAGAGACTGTTCAGGAAATGTGTGATTTCCTTAAACTTGATCTGTGAAATGCAGTAGATTTAACTTGCAGATTACTCCTATGTTGTTTTCTACTGATCTGTCTGTATATGTTGCACTATAATAACATACTGTTTACAACATATAAACTCAAATGAAATTTATTCGTGTAGTTATTATCCACAGGAAAGAAATAACTGAGTGGTTTTGCTGGTACCTCAAAGTTACCCTGGCTTGTTTCAAGCTATTTTGAAGGTTAAATGGATAGTTCACCCAAAAAATCTAAATTCAGTCATCATTTACTCATCCTCCATTTGTTTCATACTATTGATGTCAATGGCTACCAGTTTACAACATTCAAAATTATTATTTTTTTGTCATCAGTAAAAAGAAACTCATAAAACTCTGCTTGAGAGTGAGTAAATGGTGAGTAAATCTTTATTTTTGGGTGAATCCCTTAAACGTTGTCTTTAAATACACAGTTTGTTAATATGATCTCCTAACTGGTTGATAGTGCGCTAAAGAGCTAGTCAAACATCTTAGTACTTTCTTGAAGCCCTAAACTGATATCAAGATGGCTTAAATTTGTTTTGTTTTGCCTACCATGCAGTTGAAACGCATTCATGCTCACTAATGCTAATGCTAACAAAGCCTTTTACTGAGGAATGCGATGGAAGGAAAGGGTTGTTTTGTTGCCACAGGTGTCTTTTAAACCAACTGAACATATCATTCAGAGTGGACCATTAACATTTCAACATGAACTCACAAAGACGTTTAATCAACGTATAATGCAGCTCTTTTAGCATATCTCTGTCTTCTCATTAATGTACTGCATGTTTGACTGTAAGTGGCACATGGTCCAGATTTAAAGGAAGTTTCTAGAGTGTCCAGCCACTAATCTGCCCTTTCTCTTTACAGTATATTTGCACTTGAATGGCATTAGGTAAATCCAGAACACACTTGTGTCGTAACTTGCAGTACTTGCTGTACATTTCATTCATGCTTTGCCTTCCTCTTTTCAGAATCATGTGCTGAAATACTAAAGCTTTAACCGTTATCAGAGCAGTCTTCTCTCTTAAGTTTGCCACCTTTTCCTTCCCTTGACACAAAGACTTGAATTAGTGAGAACTGATTAAAGAAAGAAAACTTTTCCACCCTTTTCTTGTGGACTGAGCCGTTTATCTTCGATTTTAGGATATCATATTGTTCGGATGCTAACCTCTGTATACAGTAGTGAATGTGTGGTGTTCAATAACGCTGTTCTCTGTAAGGAAGTGGTACGGTTTGGATACAGCTCTGTGTTTGTTTGCTGTATCAGTATTATTGTGACATGCATTTGTTTTCTGTGTCTTTTTTTTTCTGTTCCTGTTCTCCTTATGGAGCTGTACATATGATAAAGTGCATTGCACAAATAAATGGAAACCGAATGAGATTAATGTTTGTGTGTGTGCGTATATGCTATTAGTAAGGTTAAAAAAAAAGTTTTGTTGAAAGTACTTAAACATTTAAGTGCTGTTTGTCTGACATTGTTTTTAGTGGAATGATTCAAATAGTGGATCTGTGTTTCCTTTTGAGCAGAGATGTCCAAACTAGGGCCGTTGGCCAAAGTTGGCCCATGGCAATCTTTGATTTGGCCCACCATCCCATTCAAGAACAGAGGGAGAATGATGGGATGATTTAGAGATGACATTTCAAATTTAATTGAACCTTTTATTTGTTTGTTGTATTAAGCTACAAAAAGCAAACTGAAATGTAATGTTTCAATTCAAATGCTGTCATTTAATCAGATTTACTTTAAAATGTACATACTCTCACTCGACAGATGGAGTACTTTGGTGAGCAAATCAAAGCTAAGGCAGATTCTCCATAGCTATGTTTTCAGCATTGAACTTTACTGTGTTATAAATGTGATTGTTTATGTTTTTATTGCAATAAGTTACTATTAGAAAGTAATACTGCATTAGTTAATAGGATATGAAGTAATGTTCATTTTATGAAATAAATAAGGAAATTACTCATGGCAACATTAATGTAAAATTGTTTGGTATATTTTTTCTTCGGCCCACAGCTATCAATGATATTTGGTTTTTGGCCCTTTATTCTAAAACGTTTGAGCACCTCTGCTTTTAAGTCGAGTTTAGTTACACTACTATAAAACACAGATTAATAAATTTGTCACAAAATTTCTATTAAATTAGATGGCTTGACATGTATTAGTTTATATTAAATTTAGTAAATGTATTATAAATATCATACATGCAAGTTCAATGCATCGCATAAAGAAATAACTGGTTAATAGTGCCCTAAAGAACTGGTCCTTCAGAGTGGACCATTAACATTTCAACATGAACTCACAAAGACGTTTAATGAACATTCATTCATTAATTTTCTTTTTGGCTCAGTCCGTTTATTAATCTGTGGTTGCCACAGTAGAATGAACAACTAATTTATCCAGCATAATCAACATGCAATGCAACCCTTTTAGCATATCTCTACCTTCTCATAAATGCACTGCATGTTTGACTTTTGACTGTAAAGAGCACACGGTCCAGACGAGGTCTCAGATAGAGTTCCTAGAGTGTGCAGGCATGAATCTGCCCTTTCTCTTTTGGCTTGACATGTATTAGTGTATCATACAGTATATGCATGTTTTATGCATTCATAAATTCTTTGTATAGTTTCCTTTTAACATTCCTAGAATATTAATTTTCTCATTTTAAAATGGTAGCTTTCCCCTTATTTTTATTTATTTTCCATTTTCAAAATTTAAATTATTTTATTTAACTTTTTAAAAATAAAGTTACTTAAATATGAAAAATATTTTGTCTTTAAAACTGTCTTGTGAAGTACCTGTTTTATATAAGCCCAGTAAAACTGGGTTACAGTGACAATAATAACAGTTAATGGAGTTAAATTAAATTAAGTTATGGTCAAGACGAAGTCGAAAACAAAAAAATGTATATCATAATTTTAAAAGCCCATGGGGCATGATGCATACAAGTGAGCACATAAAAGTTTACAATGCAATACATTAGCAGCACATGAATGTAAAGGAAAGGATGAGTAATCCTGCTGAGTCATCACACCTCTTTCAGTGGCTGATTCATTTGACTAGCCCCG